TGCATGGCCATCCACCCATCCAAACAGATGTGCTCAGTCTTTCCTTCCTGCTTCTATCACTTTCTACTTGTATGTCCTTGGGTGCATTAGTGGTCATTTAATTGTCTCTGTCTTGACCTAATAGACAGGAAAGCACATCTTGCTCCATATGGGGATTGTGAAATTAAATTCACTGATATTTACAAAATTCTTGGAGAATTAGGGACAGCAGAACTTGGTTCTCACACAAGTCCTGTGAGAGTACAAAGTATTGCTGTGTTGTTATTTTCTGCAGAAACATTTCTTCAGTAAAACATAGGCTACGGAGGAATGATTGGTTGCCTTTTAGCTCTTGTTAGATTGGTAGGAGCAGTTATTTTTCTCAATAACTAAGGTCTGTGGTGAATTTGGGTCTTTTTTTCAGTCCTCCAAAATATCATTTGGAGTTGCGTCAGTACAAAGAGAAAATTCCTGTAAATACACATAAATATTTGAAAAAAATAAAAACCTAAAGAAAAACAGAAAAAGAGCCCAAACAATCCACAAACTAATACATCATCTCATTTTCTTGTTCTCATTTCTCTAAACCTGCTGACAGGATTCCCCCAGAATTTCCAGCACTCACTGAACCTTGACCTAAGCAGCTTCATGAGAAATTTCTTCCCCAAGGGTTATTTTGGATAGAAAGTTCTAAGATCCTGAGTATAATGGTTTTCACAGCTGTAATTATAGAGTCACACATCTGATTCATGTAATTTGACAAGGAATTATAACTTGCCTGGTTCAAAGGAGTGTGTCAAGGTGTATGATAACTGGCGATGTGAATTTTGCAGCATCTGCACATGGGCTCTTCCATCATGACGGTGTCCGATTCAGATGTCTCTGTTATGTGTTTACATACCTGGGGCAGTCTAGATTACAATATTCTTGGATTGCCTTTTCTCTAAGAGAGTTTTATAAACATTTGACTCACAAGCCAGGGATGGGAAAATGGCAGTGAAAACGCCCGTGCACCCTTTCACACACGGAGAAGCTCACACTTCTGTGTGTGGTTGTTGGATGCACACGGCATCGCCCATTTTTTGTTCTCAGAATAGAAGCATAACAAATTAAAATATATTTTTCAGGAAGGGCTGAGAAATGGTAATTTGGGCTGAAGGCTTCCATTTTTAGTGGCTAAATGAATGGAGATGCTGTACCTGTTTGTCAGCTGAGGGCGAACAGAGAAGCAAGTGCATGGTTCAGCTCTCAGGTCTGGGCTGGAATGAAGCCAAGGGAGGCAACTTTTTGACAAAAGCCATGGTTTAGCAGGTACTTCATGTTGCACAGGACTCCCACTCACAAAGATGTCTCAGTGTGTGGTTTTGCCATTAGCCAGCCAGGAGAACTGTGTGTTGCTACTACCATAACCGGGTTTATGATTACTCACTAAATAAAACCCACTCCCTGAGCGCTCAAATCTGCAAGGTGCGAGTGTGGGTGAGATGCATCTGTACCTTGATGTGTGAAACAGGTACGTGGTGAGAAATGCTGCCCCTAAGGGTTGGGGCTGAAGAGGAGATGGTGGAACGAGGGGAACGGGGTCCCGCTGGCAGCTGATGGGCAGGTGCTGCGAGCAGGCCAGGCTAAAAACAAGGTGAGATAAGTTCCTCAAACTCTTGGTGGCTGAGTTGCACACACCATAGAGCGATGTCACGGGAATGGCTCTTTCTGAAGCATTTGAGATTTCCTTTCTGAAAGGCTCTTTCTCTCTCTCAGTGCAGACTGTCATTATCCAGGCCCATATTACAGAACCCAGATAATGCTCCAGAAGCCCACTGGGGCAGAGACACTGCTCGGTTGGTGATATCAGACTGCCACCGTTCCAGGAAATCGCTGAAGGAGAGTAAAGGCCCTACGGCGGTAGAAAGCACAAGCTGGCTGTTGCTGCAGAAGCAGGCAAATACGTGCCCAAGCCAAAAAGTAAGCACATCGCAGCCTCGAGGCATACGTTAAAGCCACAAAAAAAACATTAAACCCCAAAAAACTCAGCCGTTAACACGCTCCCTGCGTCCCCTCATCAGGCCTAGACTGAAAGTGGGATGTAGGAGATGGGATTTACAGTGGTAGGTGGGACTTTCCATTTGTTTTGGGGGCATTTTGGAAAAGTTTGCACTGTCATGCCTATAGCTAGCTCTTTATCTGCCTGTCTAAAATCCTCCTGCTGTAGATCAAAAACTGAGCACTAGAAGTAAACTATCCAATTATTTAAAGTCTTTTTTTTCCTTGCAAGTTGCTTGTAAACCTGTCTTCATTTCTGCAGATGTGTTTTGCATTCAAAGTATTCACCAAATAGCATCTGCCAAAAAATTTCAGTGTAGGGTCTGTTTTCTACTATGATTATTTTATCTGCTTACTCTTTTTACTTTTGATGTATGAATGATTCCCTAAATGGTGAGGTATTATTTCTGCTTCTTGTCCCAGAGGATTGTACATTTTTCTATCCAAAGGGTAGGAAGCTATAAAAAGAAAGACGCAACATACAATATATAGCCTCTTTTGCAATATGAATATGGATGACATTAATCCAGCGCACATCCCTTAAACACCCATTTATACAGAACATAACACCCATTCGTGAATGAGAAAATATAAAAATACAAACCTAATAAAACTCTGGAGCCATTTAGTATCAGCTCCAGTCTTTGCTCCTTTCTGCAATATTTGTCTCGGGCTCTGACAGACTTAGCCATGGCAAATAATGTGTGAGTGTTACTGATTTCAGCTGTCCACAGACCTTCCCCTGGTTACTGCTGCTGTGGTGGGAGTGGTGGAACGGATGTTGTCTCAGTCGCTCCCATTCAAAGTCTGGTACATTAGCTTAAATCACCGATGAAACAGGGTTGTGTTAAGATGCCAGATCGTGAACTGCAGCAGCTGAGGTACATGGCTAAACAGATTTAATGGGTCTTTTGCTGCTGAAAAGAACAGTCCTGTATGGCTCCCTCCTCCTCTCTCCCCCCTGCAAATCTCTATGGAAGGGTTGAAGGCGAGAGTCAGGGAGAATAATAGCATAAAGAAGGGCAGATAAATCAGCCAGAGTGTGACTATCAAAACCATACTCCTATTGTAATTTATAAACCTTTGTTTCCTGAAGTAACAAGAAATTGGTGATGGGATCTTGTGGTGTTGTTTTATTTGTTTCTATTCCAGATGTGTTTTTCTGATCTCATCTATATCAGGATGTACTCTTGTTATATTTCATCAGGTTGCTGGTCTCCCTGCCTGGTTTCTCATCAATGGCAGATGCTTAATAGGAGAAGGTATAAGTTTCATTTGGAAGCCACAAATAGAGAGGTCTGGGAAGAAAAATGCGTCATTCAAATTAATGATAAAGTTTTATCTTTTAATAGGTAAATTAATATTTTTAATTCAAGTTTTATCTTTTGTCTTAGACTCGGCTGGCTGGCATAGATCTGATGAGGTTGCTCTACAGCCTGGTGGTTCTTTTTTTAATTTCTGCACCGTTTCCTTTTAACATCCCTCTGTGTATAGTTTGAGGTTTTGTTGGTCTTCCTAGAAGTCAATTCTGGAAAACAGACTCCTTTGAAACACATAGAACAAGAGAATTTTTTTGAGGGAGAAAATGGATCAATGGGAGATACTTCTTGCTGTTAAAAAGCAGTCTTAGATCTCCCTTATGGACAGTCAGTGTATAACTTCTCTAATGCAAGATACCACTTGCAGTCTGGTCAGCAACTGTGCCATTGCCTGTAGGGAACTGAAAAGTGTATTTATTTTTATCCTGCTATTGGCTTATGGTATTTGAAAGTACCTTTTTTAGCTTGCATAACTGTAAATATTGTTACTGGACCTCCTGAACTCTTCTCAATGCTTGCTCCGATATTTGACCTTCTAACCTGCTCCAGGAGATGGCAAATTCCACAGGCTGATGACACGCTGGGTGAGGGAGAGTCTCCCATTATGGAGACTTTCAGTTTTGCTGAGTAAGCTCCTGTTCTCATGCTTTAGGATAAGCAAAAAAGTTGGAGGCTGATCAGTTTTCCTTAGAGCCTTCTTAAATCTTGATTGCCTGTTCTAGCTCTCTCCTATGCTAGGCCAGAGGCTCACAGTGCTTTCATTCTACCGTTACCTGTCTAGCCTGGCCATGTAAATGTTGTATAAGAAATGCTAGTAGGTACTGTACAACTTCTTCAGGCACAGGACCATCTCCTTATAACTAAAATTTCCTATTTCTGTATTGTATCATAGTTAACTTTCATGATTTTTCCTGCTACTCCATCCAGGAGCTCTTTGAGGAGGAGCAAGTCATGTGTTACCACCCCAGAGCAAGCAGTGCACATTTCCACAAGCTCTTCATAAACCCACAGCTGGAAACTTCCAAGAAGACACCTGCTCTGCATTCAGTGCTCAGAGCAGGGACTTAAAAGAGGCTTTTAAATGTACTTTCAACTGAAAGACTTTTTTTTTTTTTCTCTGCCACTGATCACTCCTCCTCTCACCTCGCACTTGTCAATTCACGCCATTGCCAGGACCCTCTGCTTGTCTCAGCTATGTGTCACGAATCCTGATTTAGAATCCTGCCAACTAGGCCAATTTGTTGCAATTGGGTGATTTAGATCCCTTAAAGAATCACTTTCAAAGCTGTTAGCGAAAGTGGTTTTAATATGATGTTGTGAAAGTGCGACTGAACAAAGTTTGATGGCATGTTTCACTCTATTACTGTACAGCACAATCATTCGAACAATGATTCAAAACTACCAAGGCACAAATCAAAGTTACCAAGACAAAATCAAAGCTACCAAGGCACAAATCAAAGGCACAAATCAAAGTTACCAAGACAAAATCAAAGCTACCAAGGCACAAATCAAAGGCACAAATCAAAGTTACCAAGACAAAATCAAAGCTACCAAGGCACAAATCAAACGCACAAATCAAAGTTACCAAGACAAAATCAAAGCTACCAAGGCACAAATCAAAGTTACTATATTACAAGGTTATGCGCGATATCGGTTGCTTACCAAAGATCTGCTGTTGGTAAAAGGTCTCTCTGCCTTGAGGAGCAATCTTGAGAGGTGTCCCAGCTCAAGGGGAGATCGTGGCCATGCAGCCAGGCTGCTTAGCCGGGAGAACTCAAAGAAGTCTCACTTGGGCTGTCATGTTTATGGAATAAAGTGGTTGCTGGTAGTCAAATTACACGTGACGGGAAAGGTATGCATGAGACTCCTTGTACCCACGACTTTCTTTGTTCCTTGATAAATGAGTCTTGGAAAAGCCACCAATTCATGTGTTAAGCGTGTGATTGGTGTTCCAAGCTCATATGCATCGATGCTCACTGTGTCACTTTGTTCCTTCGTGGGTTTTCAGGGAACAGATTGAAACTAGAGGATTTCTTGGCTCGTTTCTGGCTTACGTCTTTACCTCCTTTGGAGCCTGAACCAAACTACCGCTTGTTTGGTTAAGGGGTTGAGTGCATCCATCACACTATGTCATTGTATGTAACACTCTTTCCCTCCTCTGCTAGCACTGTATATTTCCTGGTCATAGGCATGCAGAAATCTATGTGCATTCACCTATATTTTGTACTGCCTGGTGGCTTCATGAAATCCCTGTAAGGTGTCACAGAGAAAATCTCAGTAGCATGACTTTTCTTGTGGCAACCTGTGTAGAGGTGGATAGAAACACTCCACACCTTCCTGCTCTAGAAGACAGGTATGCTCTTTTCTGTTTTGTAACTCAGGGAAGCTTTGACCTTCTGGGCTTATTTATTTGAGTATTGTAAAGGCTGAAGATGCTGAGGATCACTTTTGGCTCTTCACTTAAGCTCAAGATAGGTTGAAAAAGAAAAATCCAAACCCCAGACTTTTCAGAAGTTTATGAACATTTTAATTGGTGAAGCTGATTTTTTTCATCTATGAAACTTGGGCTTCAAATCCATGATAGACCTGAAACTTTCCATTGGGTGGAATGATTTAATATGCAAAGAGTTCATTTGACTTTTTATTTGGCATAAATTTCTTGTCCTCTTTGTCCTTTGATCCTGGTTCCTGGCTTTCTATACTTTTCCCTTATTATCTAGTTCTGGGAAAGCCTAACCTCTCTCTTCCTCAGTCTTAAATAGAGTACATTTTCAGCAAGTGTCACAGCTATATGTGTATCTTCCTCAGTTATCATGTCTCTTATCTGAGCATAACTGTTCCCAGGTCTTCAAAAACTACTCTGCACCTTGTATCTCAGTGGAGATACATTCTGCAGGATTGGGGAGTCTCAGTCCCTCCTCCTAGTTCAAGATAATTGTCCTGATTATTTCCAAGAGCACAAATGTTTCCATTTTAGTTTATTTGACATGGGCTGAACAAATAAAGATTGAGAGCCCAGTTATACTTCCCCACTTTTAAATCTAAGGGTGGTTAAGACCATTACAGACAGAAAAATCAGCTGCAAAATTTGGACCCTGCTGCCAACCTGCTCAGGGCTGGAAGCTGTGCCCTGGGCAATTCTTCATATTCTTCCCTTCTCCAGAGTTGCCTGAAGCACAGACCTGGACTTGAACTTCTGAAGTCTGATGGGTGTTTGTGATCTGGGCTTTTGATTCCATTTAATTTCTAATAGTTTCCTTTTCTAAACCCTTGGGTAGTTGCCCTTTTCTAGAACACATGCTGAGCACAAGAAACACCCTTCTTAAAAAACACAAATAAACAGAATAGAAACACAGAGAACTGAAAGAGCTTTACCAAGAAGTTTTGTTTCTCTATAAACCCTATGTAGGAAACCCTGGCCTCTGCACTCCCTCAGCATTTGCTGTATTTATTTCTTTTTCTCTTCTCCAGATTGGGAGCACTTTCTGGCAAACAGAGAAAGGCTTTGTGAGATGAGGAACGGCTCAGATTTTTGCAGCTTATAAAGTATGTGCTGCCTCTTTCTGAGAGCTGAAGGCTAACTTCTGCCCCTCCTTCCCCCCAAAAGCAGCTCTTTTTAGCAATACCCCTCTTCTTACCCTCACTCTTTTGGAAAAAGGCTCATAATGGCTCCTGGAAGAAAAGGGCAAAGATCCTGCCGCTAGCTTTTCTTCAACTGAGAAGAGAGGGAAAAAGCAGCACTGGATTTTCAAGGGAAATTGGCTGCCAAAGCTGAGGAGCAAGTGATAGGAGCGGTGGATACTTCCCCCAAACTGGGGATCTCCCCTCCCACGATTATCTCCCCGAGATGGACTCACTGGAAGGTGGATGCTCTCCCCTTCTGAAGCCATCCTTTTGCCCCCAGGTCTCCTCCTCGGCAGACGGCACACGACGCAGGGCACTCTGCTCTCCTGGAGACTCTCTCTTCGCTGGACCGGGACGCGCAGCTGCTGGAACAGACCTGCTATTCATCTGCCAGCGGCCGGCCGCCCGCCTTGGCATCAGCTGGGGGGGGCGAGAGAGGGGGTGGCACGCCAATTCTTCATTGTCCGGGCAGTCCGTGGAACAAGCGTCCCTCTTAGACTTTCCGTGACACTCGTGTTCATTACGTGTCCGTGCTACCTCTCCGAGTCCAGCTGAGGCTCATGAGCTCACTTGGGCTGGGGCGCGGCGATGCAGCCAGTGTACCAAGAGGTTCCTGGCATGGGCTGTGCGGCCGCAGCGGCGATCCCGCTCTCTCCCCCTCTCCCCAGAGCTCAGCAGAGTGTACGGCTGAAAAACGAACGGTTGAAGGAAATAGATCCAGAAAGCCGTGCCTGCTCGCTGCTGCTGCTACTGCTGCGAAGATACTGTTACATCTCAGCTAAAGTTTGCACATTACTCTCTTTAATAGTCCCTTCTTCTCATTTTTCTCCCCAGGCAAAATGCCCTTCCTTTCCCCTCCACAACACTTTTTTTGTTTTTTTTAGTTGAATTTGATACGTCTGGTCTTAGCTGAAATTAAATCCTGCTTTTTGCTTAAGTTAAAAGCAACTATGAATGACACCGGAATGGAAATGTATGCAGCCAGAATCAAGTCACAGTGTAGAAAAATACGTTGTTAATATTAGGTGGAATCCTCAGGCAGAAAAATCAGCGTGATTCTCTAGATTTTAGAGAACCTCTGCTACTCTGTCCTACCTGCAGATCAGGTAGGTGTATTTGGCTTTTGAAGAACAATTTCTGTAGTTACAGTAGCATAGAAAATTTATGGTAAGTAATGTATTCTGTTTAAAGAGTGTAGCCAAATGCATGTTCTAGTACTCCAGCCTGACTAAAAGTGCTGACAAGTCTGTCAGTAGACGATCCTGTTGCATTGATGCTTCCCAGCAAAAGGCCCCATTTTGCAATGAAAATACCAGTGCTTAGTGCTGCAAGTTCATTTCAAAGTGCTGATGAATTTAGCCTCTCTGCATTCCTCTCAAACAGCTTTTTTTTTTTTTTTTTTTTTTACTTATAGATTTATAAGATATGTATAGATGTATAAACAGTGTGATGCATTTAGGGACTCGGCTAATGCCACGCAGGAAAGCAGAGCAAGGATACAGCTTATTTCATCCTTAGGGTTCGGCCTAAGGCTGAAAGCCCATCCAGAACCATGAGGCTGATTCTACAATCAAAAACCACCCTCATGGTTCCTACTTTTGAATGAAAATTGAGATTCCTGTGTCTCGTTATCACTGCAGTGATTGTTTGAATCTTAGGTGAAAATGGAGGTGAGGGAAAGAAGCTGCCCATCGCTACTCTTCAGCACCTGTTGGCTTTTGCTATTTTTTTTTTTTTTTTTTTAATGTAAGGAGCTTTTAATCCAAAATGCAGCCATTTGCTGCTGCTGTTGACTTGCTCGCCTGATGGGAATCTGTATGTTAACTAAAAGCTCCCTGTAAGTATACTACTGCACAGATGTTAATATAGATAGTTACCTGTCTTAGTTTATTTTTCTTAGTGTAGTCTATAAAATACTCCATAGTTGATCAGTTTAAAAATAAATATGGTTTATTAATAGATAATTTACGCTGGGTGGGTGTCCACTGTGTTTGTTGAGGCACTCCTGGGAGTTAAAAGGACTTCATGTTGTGCAGGTCCTTTGTGAACAGGCTGCCAGCAAATGACCCGTGAAGTCTGGCTAAAGTTTTTTGAGTTCCTATATGTGCCATAAGTATAAAAACAAATCCAAAATATCTTCTAGTGGTCAGACAGGAATAAAGTAGCTATCATTTTATTTAGTAGACAAACAAATATCACTAGTGTACACGTTTCAGACAAGACTGCCTACATAACAATGTGCCTTTTTTAAACTATTTTTTGTTAGTGTATCTAAATGCTATGATAGGGGATTTTTTTTTTTATTTTTACACACTCTCCAGAGAGGTACTGCAAAGAGTAATGATCTTGCACTATGTCCACAGAACACCTACAGAAATCAGTCAAAGCTTACAGTAACCCTTGTGTCCATGTAGACACTTCAGTTAAACCAGGTTCCCAGTGTCCTCTCCCTGGATAACATGAAAGTCTTTCTGCAAAGTGTATAAGTAGTAATGGCTATATCAGCCTCCCCTGAAGTGTCTGGAGTCAAACACATTAGAATGAGAAAACTTAAAATAATATAATTTCTCTTGGAAATTATTGGTCTATGTTCTTAATACCAAAGCTAAGAGCCAAAAAAACATGAGAGGGGAGCGGGTTTATTTTAGCTTGATTTGTAATAGCTGCCCAAGAAAGAAGTACCTCAGTGAACCCGGTTATAACTAAGATTTACTTGTTATTAAATGCAATTGCAAGAACTACATTTTTCAAACTATATTCCTAGTAACTGTTAATTATGATGCAAGCATACACCATTCTAATGGTCCAAAGATTAAGGCATAGAAAATGCAGCCCAGCTTCTAAAAGGGTTGTGTGTCATGAGTGGCAGCACTCACCAGTTTTAGACTTACCAGCCCCTGAACTGTCTTGCAGTCTTTTTTCATAACACAAGACAAGTGGGAGACCTCCAAAACCTGGCTGTTCTAATGGATGTTGATTGATTAGAGAGTCTTTCTGGTAATGCACACTAGAGATGGATGGGGAAAGAGCAGCGTTCCTTGAAAGGAGGGTGGGGAGCATCTGGGGCATGACAAAGAACAAGCATGTGATTTTCCTTGCAAGATCAGCCCACGCTAGCTGAGAGTGGAGGGGAGGCTCTGTGGATCAGCCACATACACTCGGGAGGAGCACGCATGGCAGAGTTGCTTATTTCCACCCCCGTCCTCTTCCCTTCATTATGCCAGCCAAAGTGCTTGTGCAGCCACCCAAGAAACCAGACAGAAGAACTTCTTCCAGCTGGAAAAAAAAAAAAAAAAAAAAAAAAAAAAAGATGCAGGCTATTTTTTTGGCTGGGATCAGATCTCTGACCTGGTTCTGCACATAACTGCACAAACACTTATGCTGGCAGTAGGGAGGGCGCCCGGCGGGAAATGGAAAAAGCAGCTGGGAGTGGAGAAGGGTGGGGACAAGCCGGTTCAAGCAGCATTGCTGCTGAATGTGTAACCACAGCGTTGCAGTGCTGGTGCCACCAGTGGGGCTGGCCTCTGCAAAGGGGACATGGGAAGAAGAGCTGCAATTCCTGGGCTTCGGCACTAGCCAGCAGAGACTGCTGGCAGCAGAAAGTAGGCCATGCTCTGTGAAGACCGATGCAAGAATCGCTCTTCCCCACCATTCTCAGATTTGTTGTAATACTCAAGAGACAGCCATAACCAAGACCACAAGAGTTTCTGCAGGACAACTATACTTCTAACAGAGCAAATAACAGGTCAACTTCACTTCTTAACCCTCCTCAGGCCTCTATTTTGTGTTACAAAAGCGGTTTGGTTTTGGTTTTGAGACACCCTTTCTTCACCCTGTAATTTTGGGCCACCTCTTCATATCAGGAAAGAAGTGTGTTACTGATCTACTATGGGTGCATTCACCTGATTCTCTGAGAGGATATGAAAAGAGCTTGACTTGTCTAGCCTTACAGAATGAAAAACCAAGAGGCATACTGACGCCCACTACAAATCCACTAAACTGGAAAACTCGAGGGAGATGGAAATGCAGCATTAGCACAAGAACTAATTAATAAACTAGCCAAGAAAAAATGCTAGGTTAGAAATTAGAGGAAGGCTCTTGGCTGCCTGAGTGCTGATGTTCTGCAGAAGCCAGCCAGTGACAGTATCAAGGACAATGCTACAACACCCACCATGGCAAGGGGATTGAAACAAGGTGATCTTTAAGGTCCCTTTCGACTTAAACATTTCTGTGATTCTATGACACGCAACTGAACTGCCCTGGAGATGCAGTTTGCTGAGTTTACCAAAAGGATTACTTGATACTGCTGCCTGTGACAGCCAGGGACTGACCCTTCTAACCATTCTTGTCCCAGGTCCTGTTTTCTGTGTTTCACTAGTGGTTATTTTTGAAGAGCAAAACTCGGCAATGCTATAGTGCATGCTGCTGCAAAAGTGAAGGCAAGCGACTAGATAGCCAAAGGCATATTTCTTTGTAATTTCTTTAGGAGCTTTAGTCCCATTGTCTTTCAATTAACAGTAGGGTTATAGCTCCTGGCTGGCAGCACTGGCATCACCTTTTATAGGGGAGAACCACAGAGCATAGCCTAGTGTTTGGAAGAGTAATAATCTTCAGGAAGGCTCTGGAGACAACACAAAGATGCAAGTAATACTTCTAAAATTCTCTCAGGGGTTGATAAATGAACATGTACTTATCAAATGAATCATTAAATTATATAAAAGCAAGGCTAGAAAGGATTATAAGGAGTCACCAATTCCTTCTGCTCCAAGAGCACAGGGGGCCAGTGGTACCTGTTCTGTTAGCACAGACAGTGCTCCAGCCTGCTTCGGAAGTGTTCTGGATGTGGAGATTTCCAAGGCAGCCTATTCCAGAGCTTCAGAAACACCATCCTAACAGCTAGAAATGGTTTTGCTAATATCTAATAAAAAAATGTCCCTGCTGCAATTTTAGCCTGTTATTCTTATCCTTTCCACGTGGGAGAGAAGAGATTATTTCCTTCCTCTTTGCTGCAGTCGTTTACATTTTTGAGGACTGTTATCATCTCTCTGTTCAGTCTTCTATTCTCCATACTTAAGAAAACAAAAATTCCTTTGCAGTTTCCTCATAGGTTATATTTCATAGATCCTTGAGTGCTTTTGTTGCTCTCTGAACTCTTTTCTGTTGAATTATTGGAGAGTTTTGAATTGTTGGCAGTCTGCAATAGCACAGGTGAAAATAGTCATAGAGGTGCAAGTGTGAGAAATAATCTTCTGTGTATTTGGATTGATAATGGGAGTCTGGAGCATAGACTGTAATTTTTGTGGGGTCTGACTAAGTGCAAGTTTTCTGCTTGTCCTTAAGAGAAAACCACTACTTAACACAAGGCCAGGACAGACGCTAGACAAGAAAGATTCTTCTAGCACTCTTCAACTTTTTGAAATGTCATGGTAAGTCACAGTCAGAGTGAGAATAAAGGTGGATCAGGCTGCAGGGAGTGCAAGGTCACCTCCTGAGCACCAGCTAAAGCTCATGAAACTTCCTACTGATAATTCCCAGAAATTGTAGCAGCCCAGACTTGCTTTGGTTCTCAAAGGAAGGATTTGGAGCGATGAAACCATGCCCCATTTGGTGAATAGTTTCTGAAGCCTGAACACTCTTTCCCAGGTGCTAGGCTGTTGTATTTTGTCTTTCTTAGTCAAACATCTGCACTAGAAAGGTAGATTAAGAACGTTAATTAGCCACAGGCCTGGCAGGAGAAGATACTGATCAAGAAACAGGGAGTTCAATCAGACTACAGCCTGACTGGAACTTCCTTGAGCTCCCTGAGAGCTCAAGTGGACAAATAACTCCGATGTCAGTCCTTATCTTCTACACGGGAAGGAGCGAGAGGTTAGAAAAGGGTTATGTGCATTCCAGTATACACCCCCTCTCTTTAAGACCTCAGCCACAGCCTACAGAAATTACAGGTTGCTTCATGCTCTTTTTGTCTCATTAGTTCCAGACAGACTGATACTTGAAGCTTTTTCAACACCAGTGGGTCAGGAGGCATGCACGTGCATGCCCACACACACACAGGCACACCCCCCATTACATGATTGTTGTTAACACTGCATGGTCTTTTAGAGAGTCATAATACATTCTTTTTTTCTGAGTCCTCCAGTGATTACCAAAACATATTCCTGATACTTCTGAATCTAAAACTTGCTGCTATCTAAATTTTCTTCTGGACATTTCTACTGACTTCAGTACTTACGGCCTTGGTTCATATCTGACTTTGGCCTCAGCAGTGTTTCCCAGCCTTGCTGTGCCTGGCAGCTTTGAAAGACATTTTCTAGGGTGAAGCTTGGAAAGCTCATCTAATTAAGACTCCCTCTTGCATGTTCCTTTGCTTTTACACCAGAAGTCTCCTCTGAATCTGGCCCTTGGGAACTGGACAAAATAAGGATCTCGCTTTCTTGCCCCTTTCTGCATTGGTACTTTTCCTGGTGTTCCTCTCTTTCTCTCTGCTTGAACTGAGTCTTTCCTGAATCTCACCCTGGCAGCAGGTCTTGCCATGGGCACATTTTGCATGCTGTGAACAAATGCTGCAAAGTTCCCTATGTGGCATTTCACCTGTATTTCCCAAGGACTGTTTTGAAGCTCGTACACAATTGTGGGTTACTCATACGGACTAATTCATAGTATTGACTCCCATTTGGTTCAGCTGGAGTTGAATACATTTTGCAGGAACAAATCCTCTACAATGAACTACTCCCAAATTCCCTCTTCTGTATCCTCCCTCCTTCCAGTGTTCACTTCCATCTCTGCACCTACTGCTGCAGAGAACTGACCCAACGATAAGCCAAAGGGTAGATCTGGAAATGGTATGTTAATGGCATTCCCTTCTGCCACCTTTGTTTATTCCCATCTTAATGCCACACAATAAATATAAAAGAAACCCTCAGCCTTGCTTACTCTCTCCCTTCCCCCATCTCTGCCCTCCTGACAGTTTCCAAATAAACCTTGAAACCCACTATCAGCTGTAAAGTCTAATCAATGAAAGACACTGGAGTCAGTAATATGAAACCCTTTGACTCAAGATCTTAGTGTTTCTCACTGAACTTCAGTCTTTAAGGTCAGGCATTCTAGCTTCTGTTTGGCTTGATGTTCATTGAATACAAAGTCAAACAAGGGGCAAGCCTGAATAGATTATTCCTCCATTTACAAAGCAAGCAGCATACTGACTTCTGGCAAAGTGGACATAAAAGGGCATCCTTACCTAAAGGACAGTGGAGAAAAATAGGGAGGGATTTTGGCAGGACCTGGACCATCATTCTCAGTGGGCTCCGTCCCCAAGTATCGACGAACTGCAGACAACTCAAGCAGCAATGACTAGAAGACAGTGAAAGACATAATTTGCAAAGAAGTGTTTTAAAAGCAAAGCATGTGAAGGATAGCTAGAGTCAATACCTCCTACAAAACCCCTTTAAGCCCACAGAAAGTCCTCTTGCCTACAGTTAGCTTTACAGCAGCCCTGAAAGGACACAGCAGGGGAGGGGGAGATTCCACCAATATTTGAAACAGGAGGGTGGGAGGAAGGAAGTTATTTAAGGAGGTAAAAATACAAGTACGATGGGATGAAATTAAAACAGCAGCACCTGACATCATACAAAATTTACTGCTGTCTTGGCATCATGTCTCCAGAAAGAGGAAGATCCATGTTTTTATGATAGTTCTAATCTGATGCGATTTAGCTCTGAGAAGCATAGAGCAACAAGACAAAATAATTGATTTTTATGGTGGAAGGTGGGATTAGGAAATTTAATGCAGTTATTGGATCTGTGTCTTGAACGTACTTTCGCTTTCTTGCTGTGGTGTTCCAAGGCAAAACAGAATTTTCAGGCTCAAAAATGGTTTTGGTACAGACATTTATGGCTACATTGTTCCTCCCTGCTAGGATCTCCCTACAGCAAAAGGGGACTAAGAGTTCTTAATGTCTGGTGTCTTCAAACAGCTTTATCAACAAGCAGCTGAGATTTGTTTACATTTTAAAGACAGTCTATTTAGTTAAATTGCCAAGCATTACAAGTGCTGTGGTTATGGCAATGCCTCAGGTCAAGACCAGAAAGACAAAGTGCAATAATGTATATTATTCAGAAAGTCATGTTACTGAGGACAGTCCACCCTGCAGTCAGTGGAAAGACTTTCTCTGTCTTTAAAGGTTTTAAGAGCAACCATTTACTAACACAGTAACTATGTGCAAAATATATAACTATTTGCTGTCAAACTCCTTTTTTGTGCTGCAGACTGCAAATCAGCAACTTGTGCTTAATCTGGTTTGATAGGTAATTTACATTATGTGATACAGACACAAGAGCTACAGAAGCATTTTTGCTTTAGCTTTGCCACTTCCGCAGCATTTGTGATATTGGTAAGATGCTCTTTTAAACATGTTTTGCAGTAAAATTTCACAGTGGAATGGGAGAATTTCAGGCCTGATAGTCTTACTGGAGGAAAATCACTGGTTTCTACAGTTTTCATTCTGAATCAGACACAAGTATTTCACTGGTGTGGTTCCAAAGACTTTGCTGGAATTCCTCTGATTTACACCCATATGAGATCAGCATTAGGCCCCAGTGTTTTCATTTTTCATTTGTTATTCTTGGCCCTAGTGTCCTTTTACCACCGTTGAATACAATGTTCCTAAAACACCAGATGTGCTTGTGAGATGAGGGAATACGGCAAAAAAAAAAATACATTGTGAGGATTCACTAAACAACATATGATCTTCTTTTGCCCCATAGTCTGAATTCTGGGCTTTTGCACCAGTATAACTGCATTTATTTCTACAGGAGTGTTTCTGATTACCATTGGGAAATGAAGTTAAAAATCCTTCCTAGTATAAAGACTTTTGTTACAGTAGCTCCTTAACAGGATCATTACACTATGCTCAGTATTAGTTTGTATGATGTCTGGTGATTAATATACAACATTGACCATAGATTTTGTACAAATTCTGGGTTTCTAATCACTTTTATAATATTTCAATTGCTATATTACTTACTGGTTTCAAAGTATTATGGGCACAGTTGCTCTTTCACTACAGGCTAATTCAGTGCTTGGAGATCTTAAGTAACAGTTATTACACATATTTCATACCAGTTATCACATAGCTTATACCAGTTAAAACTGGTGGGAGATCCAAATCTGCCCCAGTATCCAGATTCCTTTGATGTGGGAGGAAGAACAGGTTCAAATCTGCAGGGTGCTGGCCACTCCAATCTTAAACAGCAAAGCATTAAACAAAGTGCTGAGCTGTAGTTGAATGAGTAATGTGACTAAATGACCCATCTGCTCCTCAACCTGCACAGCCAAGCCCTGTGTGAACAGAGAAGCCAAGGATGTGTGTGATCACCTGCGTTATTTTGTGCTTGAACCAGAGACCTGGCTACTATGGCCAGGCTATAGTGAGCTACTCACAAAGTCATCTCTTTAAAAGGTCTGAGGCATCTTCACTGATTATGGAAATCGCGGGGAATTGTTTTCTCCCATCTTGAAGTTATTCATTCACTACTGCCACTGAAGGCCAGGCTGCAGGTAAGGGAAATGAATGAACGGAAAAAATCAACGAGAGAGCATCAACAGCATTCTATTGTGTATCCTATCAGAAATTAACTTTCAGATTATAAGTGTGAGCTGTTGCTAAATTAGTCTTTTGGGATGCTAAATGCTTTGAAACACTTCTTAAAGCATTGATAATCATGCAGGCAGTAACAGTAAATTCATTTCTTTAGAGTCATCTTTTGTTTTCATCTATACCACAGTATATTTGGAGTTGATCACTTGATATCAGAAATTTACCTCAAATTAACACTGATACAAATGATGCCAGAATGTACTCCATTGAGTATCCATTTTCTGCTGCACCCACTAAAATCACAATGAAATCAAGCAATGGGAGCAAGATCCAACCCTTCCCTGCATGTGCATGAATAAAAGTATTGGTATTTCCAAGTGACAGCGTGTCTGTCCTGGTTGAGCCATGAAGCAGGGGTCTGTCAAGATAGAAAAGAGGGGGGAAAGGTGCTACCCTTGATACCAGCCTTGTGACAGACACCTACCAGTGGGATTACATCAGTATGGTCACTTATTACATCTGTTTCTCCAGGCACAAATTCTTCTTACGAAGTATTGAAAATACAGACAGGGTTAGTCCCTCTTCTCCTAAAAAATATTAGAAAACAGTGTTGGCGGTACTTTCCTCTGAGCCAATCTCCAATATGTTATTTAGGAGGCAGAGAGTTTCATATGGTGGTGGCTTTCAGCTCAGAAGTAAAACCAGGAACTTAAAAAATTGTGTCAGTTAAAATCCTGTATCACTTTCTTTGTAAATATCTCTTATTCAGATAACACCCTTGATGGGTAGTTAATTCATTCTTATCTAAAATTCCCTCTTAGTTTTATTAAGAAGATGATATTTCGTACTTTATGCTTAGATCCCTCAGGTAATACATGTTCTCTGCCTAAAACACTATCTTTCATCCCAAAGGTGACTGAATTGCAATAGTGAGCAAAATGCTCTTTGTGTATACAGTAAATAATCAGGTGGTGGATTTGATTAGGTGCTAGAGATCTTTGGACAGAGGATACAGCATAAAGTCAGTCACTCCTTCACAGGGGCATATGTGGGTTCTGGATGATGGGTAAAGTGAGAAGGCCAGGAGTGTTGAGAATCTAACAACATGAACTGAAGGTTTACAGTGAGCCATCCTTTCTCTTCTTTTCATACTCAATTTTTCATTGTTACAAAAGAAAGTACATTTAAAAATGATTTTCTATTGCATAAGTAAAAGGTGTCAAACATTAAAAAAAAAAAATCATCTCTGTGGCTTTAAAAATACTTCACTTTCTGTTGTCTTACCCAGTGTATTCCATCTGGGATCTGAAGGGGTTGCTCGAGGCATAAGAGACATCATACCTATGTTCATGTTTAAAAAAGTCTACTAGGGTATGGTTCTGTGACATGGATCTTAGTGACAGATGACCAAATACCTGTGCTCCAGAAGTTTTAAGGTCTTGATTGAAAGACACTGAAGGTAATGGAAACATCCCCAGTGACTATAATGTAGCCCCAGAACTTTGCACTCTGCTACCATGCTTGTGCAATTTCAAATGTTTGCTCTTTATGCTATAAATCCTCCATTTCAGTACGTTAATTATGTATCAGTATTCCTTTACAAAGTTACTGGGATGCTTCTCAAGGTAGTAAACAAAGGAAAAACAAATATATGTTATTTTTCAGTCCACCATCCCACGCTTAGTTCTAAGTGAATTTCATGTCTTAAAAAGTGTCAGGTTGATGGCCCAGGTGCAGGCGTTCTCCTTTCATCTGCAAACACTTACACCAGCAGCAGAACAAAAGCTTTCTCCATACTGATCCCTGACAGTACATCTTCAAACTGAAGAGACTTCAAATGGCAGGCCCTCTAAGTCCTTGAGCTGTCTGGCAGCCCCTGTAACAAAGGGGCAAATTTGTGATGGTGCTTTTTATGATACACTTCTCTAGCAGAAACTCAGCTGGGAGTCTCAAATTGTCTCAGATCAGTGCTGTCTAATATTATTACTCACTGGTGTTCTAAAAATAGTTCTGATTAGATTATAATAGATAGAAACCCACAGAAATGGCTCAGAATGCTAACAGTTTATTTTTGAATAAACAGAATTTTTTCTTAGTGAAATCTATCATTATGCTAGAAATAAAATGGTCCCAAAGGAAAATCACTTTATTTTTTTATATGTCCATTAACTAATAGGAAGGGTGGTTTGTTTGGGTTTGCTATATTTTTTACAAAAAAAGTCTGGACTGTGGAAGCCAAGAAATACAATAACAAAAGTATTTCTCACAAATATCACCAGTCTTGTGGAACTGCTGACCATGATACCTGACAATATCAGGCATCTGTGACTGCCCATCGTGGGGGAGTTACAAGGTCACCATGGCCTAAACAGGCAAAGGAGAATCATAATCTTTCCCAGTATATAATCCATAGCAGACACCATGATCTAAACAGGCAAAGGCAAATCATGGTCTTTTTCAGTAGATGATCCATAGAAAATGCAAAGCATATTGGAGATTATGAATTAGCATGACAAGGTAACAATCTTGCTTATAGATGTCTGAAACGGGACTTCCAAAATCCACTATTTATAATTATCAAACTTCATCCTGACTTACTTATTTTTTTTTCCCCTCTCTTTATAGTAGATTTATTGTTTCAGGAGCAGTTATTCTTCCTCGAAAATTGTTTTAGAAATTTTTCCTGTTAGACAGCACCAGCCATCTGAATGAAAACAGCATTCTTAGAAACTGGTATTTTACCCTGGTTACCTGCAGGCAGAGGCTCTGAGCCTTTGCTACCTGTTCCCTGATTTGAAACATGAGAACCAGATTTTTTCCCTCATCATTGAGGGCTGCTGTCAGCGTGCATCCCTCAGTCAGGAAGGAGAAATGGAGGGGAAGAAAGCGGAATAGCTTTACAAGCAGCTTGGATGGAGTGATGCTGATAGAAGAAAGTTCCTGCTCTTCATCATTACAGGACAGTCTTGCCTCCTGCCAGTTTATGATATTGAACACCATGGGCACTCAGCTGAAAGTGTCTCAATTTAAGATTTTTTTTCCCCGTAATGAATCAAAGGAAAGGAACAATTCAACCCATCAAATAGGAAAAATCCCTGGTGCTTCTGCCCAGGCAGAAGTGCCTGTTGGATACCCGAGGGGAAGGCCTGCCTTTGTGCTGGGTTGTTGGATGGGTCTCTGTGCCCATCCCCTATGGAAGCGTTGCATCTCCTCCTCCCTATTTGCATCTCTCATCCGGGACCCGTGCCCTGGGGCGAATTCCCAGCGCCTGTGCATTTTTCATTACAGAGCTGGACCAGCTGTTTCTGCCGGCTTCTTAGAGGGCCAGCACGCCCTGCTAGGAGTGGCAGCAGGGGGAGAAGGACAGTGTGTCCTTCTGCCAGCCCCTGCCTAAAAAAGAAAGTTGCAATTTACCTTTCAATAGCCCTAAAGTAGTAGGGATGGTGCTACCAGCAGCACCGGGAGATGGAGGAGCATCTTTGTGGGTATGGGCAGCCTGCTGTGTGCTGTCTCACTTGTGAAGCAGGGTGTGACAACAATTAGCTTTTCTTTGGAAATGGCGGGGAGAAAAAGAGAAATTCCATTTGCATCAGCAAGATTTTATTCTCACTTTTTTTTGTCCCTGTCTAAATGTATCTGTCTGAGGTGCTCTTGTATTCTAGTGTAAGAGAGATCCAATGGATAATAAAGAATTAGAAAAGTGAACTGCAGAAAAGGAATGTAAGGAAACAAAATAGAGCACAACTTAAAAACGAAATTATATTTTACACTTGCAAATTCCCTCTCAGACTAAAGGTTAGCCAGCAGTACTTTCAAGGAATAGGCAAAAAGAAAATAAATTAATTTCTATGACCCACAAATACACATCATGTTGTACTTTAAAGGTGAATAAAGACTGGCCAACAGCACAGGGACAACCTAATTTTCTAAGGAAACTATACAGTGCTCAGACCTTTGGTTTTGAAAATGCCTTTTGTGAGTTCTCTGCCCAGTGAGCTGTGTGGATTTACTTCAGAGGGTTACACAAGCCTGAAAGCTTCTTGAGATTTGGACTGTCTGTACCAGAGTTCTGCAAACTTCTGATTGCTTCAAAGATCCATTTTGTGTGATTTTTTAAATATATTTTAACTGTTTTCTATCTCTGTAAAATTTCTCCTCTCTCCTCCGTTCTTTTAGTACAATTTAGGAGCAACTCCATAGAAATCGGTGGCACTTGTAAAACCTGCCTCCCTGAAACACTGTGGGGTTTTTTGTAAAAATTGTTTTTCCAGCAGCATCGGCATTTCCTCCTCCTCCCCAAACCACCTCACCTTTTTCCAGTTATCTATTCTTTTGACTATTATTTTAAGTACACCAATAACAATATTGATGTAAGTTCAGTCCAGAGTGCTTAAAATAATAGCAAACCACAGGCAAACCCTTTGGCTTCTTTTTTGTACTCAGTTAGCACAAAAGCTGATAGCTGATAATGAGCGACCCTATTGTGAAGGATGCTGGAACACTAAGCTGTTTTTGCAGGCTGATCCAAAGTATAAGGAAGTTAATGGATGGCTTTATACTTCAGGCTCCAAGATGATGGGCTGGTATCAGGTTTTTAAGAGGAAGTATAATAGGCTAATTGTTCTGAACAGATAACAGCAATTTGCAGCTGGATGTGTATAATAGGGCATTCATTCTAGAATGTTTTTACATCCGGTAAAGTAATTTTTTTTTTTACTCTTTATAAACTTATTTACCAAGGAATTTAATACAAGAGAAAATTAATAATTTTGGAAGGGCTGGATCCCTTATCTTGGATATTCTACCTGCACACCTGACAGCAAATTCATCTGTTGATCGGAAGAGTAGTTATACTCAAAATAGTTGCAGGATGTACTGTAGAGTGTCATATGCTGCCTATGTTACCTTCAGAATTACCAGAAAGACAAATACAAATATAGTCTGAATGGCATGACAATGAGAAAAAAAAACCCCACATAACATGACAAAAAGAATGAAACTATTCTCAGTTATGTATTTGCAGTCCAATTGATCTCAGGGAAGGGGGGGCGGGAGGGGGGGCAGGTTTGCATGGTTTTAGTGCACAGGAGTGATGTTTGCCACAAAAGATCTAAAATAAAAGTGGAAGGGAATAACTGATGACTAACAGGGAAGTTCAACGGAAAGACCCCTATTATAATAAGAAGTATCTATGGTCATTGCACTTGGAAAACATAGAATGACTGAAAATGAAAGTAATTTGATAACTTTATGGAGAGGAGAAGCTCAGATGTTTAAGATATCACTGAAGCTGAAATGGCAAGCCTGAGCCCTGGCACTAGCTGCAGCCTCTGCTACCCTGCAGACAGCCAAGAAGCTCCAGCTCCAAGCCCAAGAGTTCAAGATAACAATCGCTTGGAAACATTTGTGCCAAGAAGTGTGGCTCCATTACTCCTCTCCCACTAATGGAAAGGATAATAGAACCAGAAAGATGCAGGTCTGGAAGGGGCCTCAGTAAGTCCTTTAATTGGTTTCCTGCCCGAAGGCAGAATAAACTGTACTTATGCTATTTCTGGTAAGTGT